TCACGTTACATCCCCAAGAATGTAACCACCAACACGCATAGAACAGGGCAAGCAAGCAACTTACATATGTTTTCCGTGTCCAGCCTGCAGCGCGTCCCCAACAAAAACATTATGGACCGCCCTAGAAAGTTCAAGGGTACACGGTACACGCAGCAATGCACTGATGGCCCGACGCAGCATGGGAAACTCAGGACCATTGCTATGCCACGAATGCGCCACAAGCTGCTACAACTGTCAATTCGTCACGGGAAATCACCTGTAATCACAACTTCGCGCAGTTTGGAAGTAATTTCCGCAATTAGGGGAAAGAGCCCATAAATAGTGAGGTGATTGAGGTTACACATGAGCTAGAACAAAAACAAGACATGCGTTGGGTGCTTACAAGTCTCAAGCTGTGGCCCTTTTTGTGGAAATTCCTCGCACGTAGCATCCTTGGCTCGACCTTTGGAGAGCCTCTAGAAACTGGCCTAGCTGACCTAGCCCAGCCTGAACTTTTGTTGGACTTCGAGGTGGTCACACTGAAGATCCTAGACGCTTGCAAGGATTAGGGTAGTGTTGCAGATAAAAGCTCAACCACAGGACTAGACGTGTTGTCTCAATCCATTCTGGAGGACAGCTGGCTGGGTCATTTGGGTTCAGTTGTTGCAAGCACGTATTTGACACGACATGATTTCCATGTTGGCTTATGGAATCATGACATGCATAGCATGACACCTAAGCACTTGTTGGATCTAGCCCATGAGATCCATGCGCAAGATGCATGAAGCGTATCAGTCTCCTGAGTTGGTGGAAGTGGGCTGCAGCAGAAAGTTTCGGCGAGCCCGAGTGTCCGTGTATTGGTAACAGTTCCGGTCTCATTGAGCAGCTGCAGCCACAGCTCATAACAGCTGGGTATCCTTCAAACTATGGACTTCTGGGATGTGATGCATATGATGTGAACTTGTCAACGTCAGGGTGCCGTTGGAATGAGAAGCCGCAGTGCCAAAATCCATGGTGCTTTGTAGACATGACCCGATGCCCCATCAACAAGGCTCGTTGCGAAGCAGCAGGTGGTATTCCGGGCAGCACGGTTTCACCGGATTGCCGAACACGACCGTATGCAGTTCGTTCCTTCCAGAATTTATCCGTGTACTACAGCTATGAGACTTGTGGATCTGTGAACATGTATGACAGGAACAGGCATTCAGTCAACGTAGGAGGCAACGTCATCAGAGTCGTCATCGATCCCGTCGCGCCTTGGGTGGTAAGGCGCACTGGTTTCACTCGTGCGCAGGAGTACGGTGGGCCTAGTTACGATTTTTTTCTGAAGACCTTGGAGTTGTTCGAGCCAAAGCCAGTTCTGAGCATTCTCGATGGTTGGGCAACGACGCAGTCCAAGCAGAAGTTTCAAAGCGACTACACTGCTTGTGTTCACGACGTTGCGCTCGGGACCTTTGACATGTGCATTGCGGATATTTGGCTTACACCAGAGCGCCATTTGCTGGCCAGGTTTGTGCCTCCGCTGAGGCAAGACTATTTCTATCTTGTGGTCCCGAGAAAAATAGAGGGTGTGGCGTTCTGGACTCGCTTGAAAGGGCCTTTCTTGCCATTCACGCCAGCTGCCTGGGCAGGAATTGTTGCGTTTCTGTGTCTCATGTCGTTGCTCCTTGGGCTGGTACGAGTCTGTGAGGATGAGCATGACGAGCTTGGTAGCTCTAACAGCTGCAAGGTGAGATGCTCCTGGCGCATGGGAGAGCTTGGCCGCATGGTTTTTCACGTCTTTCATGATTTCCTCCTGGGACAAAGTAGCATCCTCGTCGAAAAGGGCCCAGTACGCAAACTCTTCAGTACTGCAATGGCCTTCTTCATTTTGATTGTGTTAGCGAGTTACACTGCAAGTTTAGCATCGATCCTTGTCATCCAGCGTCAGAACGTTGGGACCATCAACAGCATCAACGAGGCTATTGCCCAAGACGTCCCAATCTGTGTACCATCAGTTTTGCTGTCAACATTTTCTTACGTCTTCCCACGGGCGTCCTTCGTGGAGAGCCCGGAGTCGCGCAATGGGCCTCGCCTTCTGTATTCGGGGGCTTGCAGCGCCTTGATCTTGTCGCAGGCGACCTTAGACAACATGTATGCAGGTCAGATCCGTGAGCATGACTGTGAGGCAGTAGCTAGTGGCAGCATCACTGAAGAGGTTGGCGGTTTTCAAAATCGGAGATCCTCAGTCAGGCAACTCAACTTGTATGTGTTCGGTCATGAGTCATAAGTTCTGTGCCAATCAAATCTGCAACAAATGCTATCCAGGTAGGCCGCTGCGAGAGAGACCACCTGGGCAATCTGCGCAACGACTGCAATCTCATCCGTGTTGGCGACTTGCTTTGGTCTGCGCCGATCTCGTTTCCTGTCAGTGAACGAATGGCACACAGCATGTCATGGGCCTTCACTTATGCCATGACGAGTGGGCTTATGGAAGAGACCAAGAAACTGAATGCAGACGTTTTTCCTGTTTCTAAGTGTCAAGGAGATGCTGAGCGGAGTGACGAGGACGGCCTAACTTTGGACGACCTCAGTGGCACTATTTTCATTGCACTGCTTATTGCAGGATGCGGGCTCATCTGTCTGGCTGGGACCGCAGTTTGCAGAGCACTGGGGCGTTTCCTCTGGGGGACCGAAGAGATGGCAAGGACGACTGCAACCGCAAGTGGGAGTGATACCGATTCTGGTCGTGGGCCAAAGCGCCCATCAGGGTTGAAAGAAGGCTCCCGGCTTGCCTGTCTGGAAGAACAACCTCTAGATGACCAAATCGTCCCTCTCCCGCGTGAAGTCGAGGCAGACTCGGATGGAGTGTGTGGCTGCTTCCGAGCAGAGATCAGATGAGCACGCAAGCTGTTTCACCTGCTCAGTGGGGTCCATTGCTTCTGGCCTTCGCGGGGTGCACAGGACCTCCTGAAGTTTGCTCTTCAGCTTGTTAACAGGACAGGCGCCGGAGGGAAAACAAGAATCTTGTCTGTGAAGGACGAGGCTGTGAGGTCAGGCACGGGCATCGCATTAGCTTGGGCCCATTCGCTACCAGCGGCTACCATTGAACCGTGCGTTTGTGAGAAGATCAGATCAGGGCTCTCTCTTGATGTTTGTGTGATTGCCATGGTGAGATGGAGATGTGCATGTTGTTGCAGAGCAAGTATGTTGAGGCACCGAGCCGCGGGCGCAACTTAGCTGTCCGCAGCATGAGAGAATGATTCAAAGGATGTCAAGTTATAACCAAGCTATAACCTGCATCGTCCTGTACAGTGTCTAACATGGGGAACAGAGAGGTGTTCAACAGTTCACGTGTCTAGTCAGGTAACCCGTGCCATTTCTCCTTTTCTGCAGGTACGGAAAGCTACCTCATGAGTTTGGGGTGTAGGGTTTTCACACCAGACCCTTAATTGAAGCGACTAGTGTACGTGCCAGAGAAATTTCGAAAATGGTTCCCTTGTAATCAAGAAAAGTTTCACATCCCAGACCGTAAGCGAAAGCGCGTATCCGGTCGGCTCACAGTGTTAGTTATGCTTCGCGCGTACTAAGTTGCATCAGATTTCAAGCGTATGAGCTGAGGGTATGGGGCTCTGGGGGTTGCTTGCAACGTATTTAGGCTTTTTTGGGTTCACAAAGCTGTAAAGATCGTGGGGTTGAGGGAGGTTCTTTTCCATCAAGAACGAGCATCAGAGCGCAGATGATCTTCTGACTGTGGAGCTTACAGGTTCTGGCATGAAGCAATGTCAACTGGCGCGTAGCGGCTGAGGTCAGAGGCCTGGGGCATTTTGATGTTATCCGGGGAAGCAAGTATGGTTTTGCCACCCCCTAATAACACCCCTCTCACACCGCGGTGTTTTTGATTCGTTTCTAGGTGTTCACTTGAAAGCTTTTGGCTGATACTTCAGCCCTATAACTGCATGGCTCGTCTCTGTAGGCCACTGCTGCCTCTAGCTTTCGTGGCCCTCCTCTGACGTTTGCTTGACCCACAGGTATTGAAATTAAAAGCTACGCGAGGAGGGTTGTCATCCTTGTTGAGGTGTGCCGAAGGGGTTCATACAAAGCAAGTCCTCTAATTTTCGTTCGACTTTTGGCACCTCGCAGCTCACGCAGGATTCCATGGATGAAGCTGCTTTGTAGGGTCCAGGAGAGAACCCAAACCCCGCACCTGAGCAGGGCTTGTGTATCTGATGTCTCGTGGCATCCTCGCTATGATTCAGGGAATGCTCCTGCTCCACAATTCGAAGTTCGGAGCGCCTTGTGTCGCTTGTGGACAGACAAGACCACGCTTTCTTGCTGATGTTGAAGGGGGACTGGGGAGGAAGAATTTAGGGCCTACTGTAGCGATAGGAACCACCATAGACATCTACTCCCCCCACTCCCTAAATCACCTGTCACTTTTTCATTGCCAAGCGCGTGGGCCGATCTGTTTGCGGTTCCCTGGACCCTCTAGTGCAGTTCCTTTTCGGGCGTGACATTATTTTTGATTTGGATTCTGAATAGCATCTTCAAAAAGGTATTTCATTGGAGGGTCTAGGTAAGCACCTTGCGGACGATGTGGGAACTGACATGGAGCAAACATATGGACTAATCTGCTCCATCTAACAATCCAGCCGATTCAGCGAATAATCGATAATCCCAACACTAGCATGATATAATAATTTGGGGTGTATTTCTCATACAAGATACACTCAGCCCTGAAACCTGAACTGTGCGGGGAGGGGATGACAGGTTGCGGCAAAGCTGATTTTCATCATTCGAGGCTGCGGGGCATCCGCAATGACTCCATCCGAATGGCCTCCAGATCATAGCTTTTGTCAACATCCGTCAGCTTCGCAGACATGCTTCCAAACGCTTTACCTGAACACCTGAGGTAGTGGCCCAGAAAAAAGAAATTCACACAACAACTATTCGGCATGTTTTGGGCGTCTATGCAAAGCCTCAGATCACAAACCAAAACTCTGAATCACTAAACTTCCCACCCTAAATCCTGAACCAACCCTAAATCCTAAACCCTAAATTTTTTTGTTTCCTAAGCCCTAAACCCTAAATCTTGGGCGCAGAGGAGACGGCTCGTCGGCAAGCTGAGGCGCTTCGAGCCGGTTTGGGGCTTTAGCATTCAAGGGTTTTCAATTCTTCCACAAGTTTTAGGGTTATGAATCCCTCAATTAGACATTTCCCGGTGCCTAAGTGGGGGAGTGAATTCCTCTAGCGGTAGCGTTCCTCATCTGATCCTTATAAACATACATATGTACATGCACCTTTTGCCTACCTCATTCAGGGGTCTCCTTACCCCTAGGGTCTAGGCCTATGAGTTCGAATTGAGTAACCTTTTCCTGTTTCCTTCAATTTGAAACCCAACCTTGCTAAGCCCGAGCGAGCCCTAAAACGTTCACCCTGAACACTGAACCTTTGGATTCTTTACCCTAAGGAGCCAAGCGAAAAAAATACAGAAAAAGTAGCCGAAAAAACCGCCACCTGACACCTGTACGCGTTAAGGCTCTAAGGCCAATAGAAAATCATGAGCCCAAGCCAATTGGCGCAAATGACCTTCCATTTATGTACTTGGGCCCTTTATGATACCCTGGACCCTGCAGCCATTGGACCGTACACCCTAGGTCCTGAACGTATAAAGCCGAAAGCAGTAAATCCTGAATCCCAGTCCTCAGACCCTAAACTCTACTCAGCAACCCCAGCCCCGAAATCCTTAATCTCTAAACCCTAAACCCTATTCCTTGGAGGTGGCACACTGGGCCGGGGGACTCAACAGGGTCGGCTTAAGGATTCACTTTAGGATATGCAGGGGTTAGGATATGTAGGGACATAGGGTCAATAAGTTAGGCATTCGGGAATTTCCACAAGGAGCGGTTTTCAGTAGCCCCAGCTCCAGAATTAGGATCCTATGACTACGACTATCACGCGATTATAATGGTACTAACGTCCCTTACTATAGTTATATCACTAATGAAGGAGCAAGGTTGAACTTCGGCTCCAGGGATTGGTGTGCGGAATGCTACGTAGGTGAGGGCAAAAGCCAAATTTGCAAGGGTTCAGGATAGCGTCTTAAAGTCCTGTGTACTTGCTATTACAGATAACACCACTACTTCGTAATATGCCTATCTATCTCTCGCTGGTGGGGTCATCCACAACAGAGACTGTGGCATACCCATGTATGTTACACAATTTTGCAGCTACCCATGCACCTGCAAGGAGGTGCAAAACAGCATCCCAACGCAGAAATATTGGACTCTAAACCCGTGAATATCAAATAGTTAACAAAATGGACAGGAAATGGAGGGATTTCGGGCTCCGAAAAAGTCAGGGGTATCTAGAGAATGGATCCCTTGATAAAGCTTATGTTAATTTGGACCCGGGTCCATATTGGGACCGGGCCCCTACTGATGGAAATCCTCATAGACGACTGCGATCGCATCAGCATTTCTGATGACGACCTTGATGTGGGTGCTTTTTAGAGTTTGCTCATAAGTGTTCACGAAAGTCCAAGTAGCCAGAATGAATAAAATGACCCGCAACCCTGATGAAGGAAGCAGCGAGATGCCAAGATCTGCCAGAAATTCAGCGTGAGCGAAGTAGCTAGAAAGCCACCAAACTCATTGGCCACGTGGTAGCTTCGGCATGGTGAGGATGGTTGAGCAGTCTGACAACTCAGCAGCCATTGTTCTCATTCAGGGCCAGGAAGCGTTAGGATCTGGTTTGGGGGGGTGCCTTGCGCTGTGTGTGGGGTTGAGGGCTTAGGGTCTCTACGTAGGTTCACTGATCCGTGTTGGGAAGAGCGATTGGCATGCTCAAGTTGCACACCTAAACGCACAACATCGCCCCAATTCGGGCATCGGACAACCTATTCCCGTAGCTTTTCGACCTCCATCATCCCAAGCCTGGAATCCAAATTACTACTACTATTCGTACTGTTATTAATATTGCTGTCATTGTTATTCTTGTTATTACTATTACTATTATTACTATGGGTATTATCATAACTATGATTGCTGCTATTCTTATTGGTATGATTTTTACAAGGACCTCCTGCGTTCTGATCCGTTTGGAGGTGGCCTACAACCGCGCTCTGGCGAAACAGGCTGGGAATGTTGGCGCGATTCGGGTAGGAGTGCAGGGTTTAGGGTGTAGTTGCTTCATCAGAGGGGGAGGAAAAGAGCATGGCAACTAGTTTACTACTTTTTGTTTAGGATTGTGGCAAGAAGGGTAAGCTCGGAGCGCCTTGTGTCGCTTGTGGACAGACAAGACCACGCTTTCTCGCTGCTGCTGAAGGGGGATTGGGGAAGAAGAATTTAGGGCCTACTGTAGCGATAGGAACCACCATAGACAGCTACTCCCCCCACTCCCTAAATCACCTGTCACTTGTTCGTTGCCAAGCGCGTGGGCTGATCTCTTTGCGGTTCCCTGGACCCTCTAGTGCACTTCCTTCTTGGGCCTGAGATCGTTTTTGGTTTGGATTCTGATTAGCATCTTCAAAAAGGTACTTCATTGGAGGGTCCAGGGAAGCACCTTGCGGACGATGTGGGAATTGCCTGCTATACTGGTGAGAGCCATGGATCGATAACCCCAACACTAGCATGATATAACAGTCTGGGGTGTAATTCTCATAAAAGATACACTAAGCCCTGAAACCTGAACCGTGTGGTGAGGGGATGACAGGTTGCGGCAAAGCTGATTTTCATCAGTTTGAGGCTGCGGGGAATCCGCAATGTGCGGGAAATCCGGTTTTTCAGCCTTTTTTGTTGCTAAGGCTTGAAAAACCGGATTCCCCGCGTGTTTTTGGCTTCCACAATCGGACAGGCCAAAACTTGGCTCCAGAATGCTTTGTTGGCCTGAGTCATCCAAAA